CCTCCCCGCACCCTTCTTCACCCCTCCAACCCCCCGCACCCGACACCCCAACGCTCTATCACAATTCCTCGCCCGCTCAATCGAGCGTGCCCCGTTGACCGGTCTGTCTGTCTCGAGTGGCAACGCCTGAAAGCCCATCTGCTACCAATCTACTATCCTCCGCCTAATTGATGTGCCACCGGCCCACTTTTCACTCTCACAACCTTACAACTCGGGACAGTTTCGTTTCTTTTCTTGTTTCACCCTCTTTTCCCTTCCTTTATTCCTTCCACCCCTTCTTTTCTGGAGCTCAAGAAAATGTGCGCCGATAATTCTTCTCCCTCGTACGTCAGTTTCTTTTAATGTTTTTGATGAAATAAATTAAATCAACCACTCCTAACTCCTTTCATTCCTTTTACTCTGCTTCCCCACACAAACTTGCACTTGTGTCGTCTTAACGTGCCTTCATTTCCTGCGTAATCATTCATTATATTCTTGTATTCTCTCCCCTTTCCTACTCAACATGGTTTGACTATGAAGAGCAACGGGGTTTTCTCTCAGTCTCTTCCACTTCGCCTTCTCTTCCTTCTCGAATTTCCTGCGTTTCCTCGCTCCTCTTTTCCCTGTATTCGTTGTTTCTCTTTTTCTCTGGAATACGCGTCTGATTGAGGCGCGGCCGTGCACTATTACCCGTTTCCCTTAACCCGCCCTGTCTTTTGTTTCGCACTTTGTCATCTTCTCTCTGCATTGATTTCTCCCTTTCGCCCATGCACAGAATTCGGGTATGCTTCTCTCAACTTTTTTTCTATCCTTATTTTTCTCCCATTCCTGCCGTTTCTGTCTTCTATTTTCTCCCATTTCGTATAGACCGTATACTTCTTTCTTCCATTCACCGTCATGTAGCGCGTACGATTCTTTGCAATCCTGCCCTTCGCTAGAAAAATTCTTTTGTCTCTTTCTGTCTTCATATACACTGCCTCTTTCAATTCTGCATTGCTAACCTTACTTCTCTTCCAATTTCTTTCTTCATTGTTCACCATATTTCTCTTCCATTCTCTTCCTCTCGCCCCTTTTCTGCGAATTATCTCCACTCTTTCGCTTTTCCACTGTTGCTCTATCTCATTTACGCGAAGAATTGCATGTACTCGCTAATATGAGTACATCATAGTCCCATAGACACAAACACACATATAAGCATTCATACTACTATATACACATGGAAACGTGGGTACGTACACACATAAAACATAAATACATACATACAACACACATACATACATATGTACACATACATACATACATACAACCACATACCTGCTTAAGCACTCTCTCTTTCTCTCCCACGTGAGAACACACCATTTCACTCTCTCTCCTTCTCGTCTGTGCCTCTGTGCCTGCGCTTCCCCCCGCGGCCTCCGCCCACTGCCCGGCGCACGCGCCGCTCCCTCGCCATCTGCATGCGTTCCGGCCTCGGGCCCACATCCGCCACATGCTACCCCTCTCCCCTCCCCTCCCCTCCTCACCCTCCCCGCCCACATTACTTGAGCCGCGGCGCATTCGACCCCCGCGACTCGACCGCGCGCCCGCGCAGACGGACTCCCGCAGAACGCAACTCCCCGCACCTCACATGCACTTTTCTTACTTTTTTTTTTCGAAAATAAATCAAAATCATAATTGGTGCTAAAATTGCTTCCATATAGAATATAGCATTTTGAACATTATCCTATTTTTCCTCAATTGTTCACATATCTTGTCAAACTTCCGTAAATATGGCCTAAAGTGTAGTTTTAATGTAGTAAACTGAAAGGTGTAATATTATGGATTTAGGCTTCAAAGAAAAATCTGACACACGTGAAGTAAAATTCGTTCAAAAATGTATCTGCATTCTTTGAACCAAATGCTTCAAGACTGTGAGCCGGGAACGAGCGTTATAACTATTATTAGTAGTAGTATTATTACAAGCAATATTACCATTATTACATATCTTATTGAAATAAGGAAATGCTTTATTTCAGCAAAAAACTGTTCATTAACCGGTTTATAAATGGTTTCTTAATTCAATTAATCAATGTCATTTCCTCCATTACGCGTAAAAAATAATACAAAAATTTGTTGTTGTTTTTTCAATTGTTCAACACACCTGCTTATTGAAACAGCTAACAGCGAGATTCTGCTTTTCGCGATCCGGATCCTGCCTTCCTTCCTCCCTTCCTTCCTTTGGGGGGTGCCCCAGCCAGGGCGACGGCGAGGCGGGGTCGCCGCCGTCCGTCTCGGTCCTTGCGCCACCGCCGCTGCCGGACGACCACCGCCGCCGCCGCCGCTGCCCCCGCCGCAAAGCGTGTCGTATATTGTT